TCCGTGGGATTAATATTAATCAGGACAGTGATCATAAAGCCTGTCAAAATTGTCTTCAAGGGAAAATGACGAGGTTACCATTTCCAAAGGAGTCGCATCACGTCATGAAGAAATTGGAGCTGATACACACGGACCTGTGCGGACCAATGAGAGTTACTTCGAATGGTGGTGCCAAGTACTTTCTAACGGCTGAAGGAATACAACATCGACTAACTACAACGTATACGCCGGAACAAAACGGTGTAGCGGAAAGGAAGAACCGCACCTTGGTGGAAGCAACACGATGTCTCCTTTTGCAGTCCGGTTTAGCATCTTCTTTCTGGGCAGAAGCGATGTCTACTGCTAATTTTATACGAAATCGTTCTCCCACGAAGAAACTTGATGGTCGAACACCCCATGAATTCTTTTTCGAGAAAATTCCAGCAGTTGGTTACTTTAGACAATTCGGTTGTAAAGTGTTTTGTTTAGATAAATCACCGGTCAAAGGGAAGTTTGATGCCCGTTCAAAGGAGGGTATCTTTGTCGGATATTCAGAAGTTACAACAGGCTTCCGAATCTGGTTACCTCACTCAAGAAAAATCAAAATCACTAGAGAAGTGAGATTTCTTAAAAACATCTTCCAGAAATCAAAAGCAGTATTCGAGGAATTCATCGATGATACCATGTGGGATGGCAGATTAGAAAATCACGACGAGAAGATTGTAAATATTGATATCGAATTAACATCTGAAAATCACAGAAGAGACGTGGATCTTCAACAGGAACTTCATGATAATCCAGTGGAAGCGGCAGAAGGTGTATAATTGGTTTATAATAAAATATATCTTTTATGTAATCAAGGTGATCTTAAATTATTGATCCTGGTATCCCCGAATTCTAACAATTTAATATTGAAAAAATCTATATTCTGGGCCACGTCAGGGCCCAATAGGGGCCATAAATCGGGCATCCCTATTTGGGCCAGGTCGGGCCGTGTGTTTCATTCTGATCTGGCCCCTAACCATCGCGGCCCTACTTCACCAGATCAGGACCAGAAAAGGACCATATCAAAATTTCTACACGAGATAAGGCAACGAGAAGAGGCATGTATAGCGAGCTTGCATATGTGACCGTAACATAAGGAGTCAGTGGATGCCATACATTTAATTATTTCTCAAATGGAATTATATTTTGCTTTTTAAATTATAAAATATGTGTACTGTATAAATTTTAAAACAGAAATAGAGCATTAATATTGGTTATAAATTTGTGAGCAATTTATATACAATATAATGTAATATGAAAAAAAATACGCATTCGACAAAATTCTGTCTAAACTTCTGTAGCGATAATAAGATATTAATAAAGAAATAGCTGTTAGGTACTTTGTGCGTAACATTAACAAAATAAATTGTTTAAACAATGTTTAAATAATTAATTTTTAGTTTTTCTTTTATACTTGAATACTTTACTTATAAAAAATTGCACAATTCAGAAAAAATTGAAATTTTTAACCCTAAGTACAGTTTATGCCAAAATAATAACTTTCTATTGTATAACAATGTTTAACTAAATAATTTTGCTTCCTTATAATTAATTTTTAGTTTTTCTTTTATACTTGAATACTTTACTTATAAAAAATTGCACAATTCAGAAAAAATAGAAATTTTTAACCCTAAGTACAGTTTATGACAAAATAATAACTTTCTATTGTATAACAATGTTTAACTAAATAATTTTGCTTCCTCATAAGGAAGCTTTGTATTCGTGACGATTTTCAATTTTTCAAAACAAGGTTATATGGACTCATTTTCATCTAGGATATATAAATATTAAATTCTGAGCAAATGTCCAGATGTATGTGTGTGTGTGTATGTCACAAAAAATTGTGTACAAATTATCTTAAACAAATTTTCATGGATAGCTCTGAAATTTTGCAGGTTTATTGCAGTCATTAATACCTAAAATCTTTTACAAGGATTTTTAAATTTATTCACAAAATTTTTTTTATACAATTTTTTCAAAATTTGAAAAAATAATTTTTTGTATTTTTTGAAATAACTTTTTTATTTCTTAATATTTTTATTAATTATTCTCAAAATTACATTTCTGACAAGAAAACGAATCGATTGATATATACAAAGTGTACATTTCATTAAATTTTATCAAATTAATCGATATTTTTCTTTTTCACAAAAAATTCAAATTATGTGTTTTTTGAAATATTACCTTAACATATTAAAATAATTATTTTATTATAAAAAATTGAGCAATTGGTTTATATTATATTGAGGAAGCGAAATGTTTATGAAATGAACAACTTGTTTTATTTTTAATGAATCAAACATTATTTTAATAGGTTTTTTCAAATAATTTTCTTAATCATTAAAACTAAAAAAAATATATTTTACGATTTTATGATTCTTTTAATACTTATTGTTATTCAAAAAATGTTTAAAAACTAAAATTTAAAAATAAGGCTCGAGAGATCGATAGAAAATTTAATTACGAAGATTTAGAAAAAGAAAAAGCGTTTTGGTAAAGAATTGTGACCTGTAGAGTGATATGAAACGAAACTTGCGCCTCCATAAGTGAATGCATGCACAATAGGGTGTCCGTAAAAATTCGACTTTCGAATTTTGTTTACGCCACCCCCCAGTTTGGTTCCAATAAAATAAAAAAAAATGTTCCCAAAATTTGAAGCCGATTGATTAATATTAACACGTGCCAGTAATAGATCGCAATTTCCCATTGAAAATACATGGGAAAAATGGACTATTTAAAAAAAATTCATAACTTTTTTAATTTTTATGCAAAAAATTCTCCAGGTCACATTTGTCTTCATTTTTAGCTGCACTATAAGATAGCACTTCGAAAAAAATTCAATTTTCAAAATAGCGGACTTTTACAATGGGTTATAAAAATGCACCATAATGTATTAGTGGTTTTATCACATAAATGTTGTCGGAAAATTAAAACATTTTCTTAATCGGGGGGGTTTCCGATCATTCGTCATGAATTTCATATCAGAAATAAATTTTTCAAATTTTTTATCCAAAATGGCGGATTCAAAATTTTGATTTTCCACATTTTTGAAAAAAAATTCTAAAACAACGTCAAGGGCGATTTTTGGAATCGCTATTTACGAATCTAATGTCAAAAATTTATTTTCAAAATTATCCGATCCAATATGGCGGATTCAAAATTTTTTTTTATACATTCCTTAAATAATCAATTTTAAGAGCGGAGGAAAATAATAAAAAATAAGATAATAATAATAATAATAAAGAAAATAATAAATAAATAACAAATAAATATTTAAATAATAATAATAAAATAAAAGAAATAAAAATAAATAAATAAAATAAATTTACATCGTGGATGTAAAGTATATGGAATAATTGTATATTATGGACTCAACCTTGTACTGTGCCATAATTATACAAATGTGCGCATTAAATATGCGCATGGCGTCTTAATACTAGCAATAACACACATGGCTAACATAACCTTATTTTTAACAAATTAAATGGAGTTATTTCTAAATAAAAGTTAAATTTCTAAAAAAGAGTTCCCAAAATATCCCAATAATTGTTTCTTGTAACTATTAATCTATCAATTAATATTCAGACTATTTACTTCAAAAATGTAGAAAATAAAAAATTTGAATCCGCCATATTGGATCGGGTAATTTTAAAAATAAATTTTTGACATTAGATTCGTAAATAGCGATTCCAAAAATCGCCCTTGACGTTGTTTTATAAATTTTTTTCAAAAATGTGGAAAATCAAAATTTTGAATCCGCCATTTTGGATAAAAAAATTTGAAAAATTTATTTCTGATATCAGATTCATGACGAATGATCGGAAATACCCCCGATTAAAAAAATTTTTTGAATTTCCGACAACATTTATGTGATAAAAACACTGATACATTGTGGTGCATTCTTATGACCCATTTTAAAAGTCCGACATTTTGAAAATTTTTGAAAATTGAATTTTTTTCGAAGTGCTATCTTATAGTGCAGCTAAAAATGAAGACAAATGTGACCTGGAAAATTTTTTGCATAAAAATTAAAAAAGTTATGAGCATTGTGAAACTCCACCTCTTAATCCCATTTCATTAAAAAGCAACATTTCCACATCTGTCAACAAATCTTCTAACTCTGACATCTTTACAACATTGTAATTTATATCGTTTCTCACAGATCCGATTACATGATAGATGTCGTTTACTTTAAATTCAACAACTTTGTTTACAGTATTCAAGTTTACTGCATCACTGTTGCTCTCAGCATTAGCTACGTTGCAAAGTTTCTTATTTTCAATATTAAAAACTCCTTCACCAGTCAACTTGAAACCAAGTCTTGGTGGACCTCGATTTGAAGTTTATGTGCTTTTAAACTGACGTCCGAATATATCGATACTCTCAATGAAAATGATAAAATTTTCTACAACTGTTAATTAATAAACAATTCCAGCTTCTCTGAACTCTTCAATAATTGATATAATCTCATTATTATGACTGGGATTTCCAGCTGCTTGAGATGCCAAGAGCAATCTTAAACGAACAAACAATTCATTAGGATCATCCTAAAAAAACATAATCAATTTTTGTATCTTCTTGTTGAGCCATATATTCTGGAATTAAACCTTCACCAGAATGTACTGCTATATAGTTTATATATTTTTAACTCTTTTTATCTCTAACAGCGCCATCTGCTTTGTAATATTTTTATTTAAGGGTAAGAATTCCTGAAGTGGCCCCCAATTTTATGGCAGTAAACTGCCATAAAAATTCTTTTTATGGTAGTTGTCCAGAACTGCCTTAAAAAGTGCTACTTTATTTGCTCAAAACAGGTCCCAAAAAGACACTTTTTCATGTCTACGGCGGAAAAAATAAATTTCCCATGTATCTTACGGACACCCTAATGCACAAGTCCCGGCACGCCGCGCTGGACACTTTATTTTTTTTCTCGTAAAGTTATTGTCCCCTAATTAAACAAATTTAAAGATACTTACTCGATGGATGACGTCACCATGACACTTTTAATATTGTTTTTTATACAAAAGTATACCGTTGTCGGTAACTTTTTAATAAGATACGTCACAAAATGTGGCACAGTCAGTTCCCCCGACATTTTTGGAGCCGTCAAAAGTTTGGAGACGTTGACTAACATGTTTCTCACTCTTGCAGATGTTTCATGCACATCGTGACTTTCGTCTCCAGGGAAATCGATAAAATACGATTTCGAATTATCCTTCTGCATTTCGATTACTATTAAACTTCGAGACGAATGGTTGTTGTTTTTCGTCTTCTGCGTACTTCGATTTTGCAAAATATTTATGAGCACATCCGTTGTTGATAATTCCGTCTTTTTGAATGAATTTTGTATGTGCTTATCTTTGATTTTTATTGGGAAATTGGAAACCTTGTCATTATTTTCTAAATAGAATTTGACTAGGTCTTTTGGTTTACTTCCCATTTCCATTACTCTATAAAAACAAATAAAAAAAACATATAATTTACAAATATATAATTTACTTACTCTCCCTGCAATCGGAGGGTTCAAGACTCCAAAGTGCATACATCAACGAGACGCATGCTTATTCCCGAAATCTTTTTTGACCGAATAGGTATTTAATATAAAACTACTTAACTTAAAATTTACATAATATGCACATTACTTGACATAAATTTCATAGCACACAAAAACCATTAAACATAAATATCATTTCTCATAGAATTCATTAAACAGAAAAATTATGTTACATAAAACTCAGATAACTTAATTCTTATTTGACATGAAAATTATGTACCATAAATTTCTATTGATATAAAAATCATTTAACATAAATTTCTTTTGACATAAAATTCATTTAACGTAAATTTTATTTGTTATAAAATTCATTTGACATCAATTTCATTTGGCATAAATGTCATTTAACGTAATTCTCATTTGACATAAATATCATTAGACATGAAATTAGCTTGACATAAATTTCATTTGACGTGAATATCATTTAACGTAATTATTATTTAACGTAAAATTAAATTTATATAAATTTCATTTAGCATCAATTTCATTTAACATAATTCTCATTTGGCATAAAATTTACTTGACATAAATTTCATTTGGTATAAATCCCATTTAACATAATTTTCATTTGACATAAAGTTCACTTGATATAAATTTCATTTGACGGATAACTCATTACACATAATTCTCATTTGACATAAAATTCAGTTGTCATAGATTTTATTTTACATACAGATCATTTGACTTGGAAATATAAGCGCGAATTTCAAAATTGGCGAATCACAATGTTGTTGATAATATCTAATTGGTTACTTTTAAAATTCGCGACGATATTGTTATGTAAAATGTTATTTATGCAAAATGATTTTTATGTCAAATGAGAATATTGTTGAATGGAATTTATGCTAAATGAAATTTATATAAATTTAATTTTACGTTAAATAATAATTATGTTAAATGATATTCACGTCAAATGAAATTTATGTCAAGCTAATTTTATGTCTAATGATATTTATGTCAAATGAGAATTACGTTAAATGACATTTATGCCAAATGAAATTGATGTCAAATGAATTTTATAACAAATAAAATTTACGTTAAATGAATTTTATGTCAAAAGAAATTTATGTTAAATGATTTTTATGTCAATAGAAATTTGTTACATAATTTTAATGTCAAATGGGAATTAAGTTATCTGAGTTTTATGTAACATAATATTTCTGTTTAATGAATTCTATGACAAATGATATTTATGTTAAATGGATTTTGTGTGCCATGAAATTTATGTCAAATAATTTGCATATTATGTGAATTTTAAGTTAAGTAGTTTTATGTCAAATAACTATTTGGTCAAAAAAGATTTCGGGAATACATATGTCCCAGCCACGTAAAATGGGCTGTCCCCCCTTAACTTTTACAAATCTCAACCTTATGAGCTAAAATTCGGCAGGGATCTTCAGTTTCAAGTGCAGATTACAGGAAAAATATAGCGAACCCGATTGGCCTACATATTTGCGAAATGGAAGAGAAAGAAATGGAATTTTTTCGAAAAAATTGCAAAAAATGACCCTGTCCCCCCCTTAACTTTTACAAATCTCAACCAAGTGAGTTGAAAATCGGCAGGGATCTTCAGTTTTAAGTGCAGATTAGAGGAAAATAATAGCGAACCCGATTGGCCTACATATTTGCGAAATGGAAGAGAAAGAAATGGAATTTTTTCAAAAAAATTGCAAAAAATGACCCTGTCCCCCCCCTTAACTTTTACAAATCTCAACCAAGTGAGTTGAAAATCGGCAGGGATCTTCAGTTTTAAGTGCAGATTACAGGAAAAATATAGCGAACCCGATTGGCCTACATATTTGCGAAATGGAAGGCAAAGAAATGACATTTTTTCAAAAAAATTGCAAAAAATGACCCTGCCCCCCCCTTAACTTCTACGAATCGCAACCTGGTGAGCTGAAATTCGGTAGGGATCTTCAGTATTAAGTGCAGATTACAGGAAAAATATAGCGAACTCAATTGGCCTACATATTTGCGAATTGGAAGGGAAAGAAATTGAATTTTTTCGAAAAAATTGCAAAAAATGACCCTGTCCCCCCCCTTTAACTTCTACAAATCTCAACATGGTGAGCTGAAATTCAGCAGGGATCTTCAGTTTTAAGTGCAGATCACAGGAAAAATATAGCGAACCCGATTGGCCTACATATTTGCGAAATGGAAGGCAAAGAAATGACATTTTTTCAAAAAAATTGCAAAAAATGACCCTGCCCCCCCCTTAACTTCTACGAATCGCAACCTGGTGAGCTGAAATTCGGTAGGGATCTTCAGTATTAAGTGCAGATTACAGGAAAAATATAGCGAACTCAATTGGCCTACATATTTGCGAATTGGAAGGGAAAGAAATTGAATTTTTTCGAAAAAATTGCAAAAAATGACCCTGTCCCCCCCCTTTAACTTCTACAAATCTCAACATGGTGAGCTGAAAATCGGCAGGGATCTTCAGTTTTAAGTGCAGATTACAGGAAAAATATAGCGAACCCGATTGGCCTACATATTTGCGAAATGGAAGGCAAAGAAATGACATTTTTTCAAAAAAATTGCAAAAAATGACCCTGCCCCCCCCTTAACTTCTACGAATCGCAACCTGGTGAGCTGAAATTCGGTAGGGATCTTCAGTATTAAGTGCAGATTACAGGAAAAATATAGCGAACTCAATTGGCCTACATATTTGCGAATTGGAAGGGAAAGAAATTGAATTTTTTCGAAAAAATTGCAAAAAATGACCCTGTCCCCCCCCTTTAACTTCTACAAATCTCAACATGGTGAGCTGAAATTCAGCAGGGATCTTCAGTTTTAAGTGCAGATCACAGGAAAAATATAGCGAACGCAATTGGCCTACATATTTGCGAAATGGAAGGGAAAGAAATTAATTTTTTTCGAAAAAATTGCAAAAAATGACCCTGCCCCCCCCCCTTAACTTTTACAAATCTCAACCAAGTGAGTTGAAATTCGGCAGGGATCAACAGTTTTAAGTGCAGATTACAGGAAAAATATAGCGAACCCGATTGGCCTACATATTTGCGAAATGGAAGAGAAAGAAATGGAATTTTTTCAAAAAAATTGCAAAAAATGATTTCATTGGACACTTTGACACTCTAATTTTCCATTTTTGTAGAAAACATTCATCCGGATCAACTAGCTATAATGATGGTGTACAGCTTGCCTCAAAGCTTCGAAAATTTTAGAATTGCCATTGAGACTCGGGATCAATTGCCTGCACCCGACAATCTACGCTTAAAAATTATCGAAGAATACGAGGCAAGGAAAGCTACAGCATCGAGTTCGGTCCACGATGCAATGTATGCCAAGAAGAAATTCATGAACGAGAAGAAGCCGAAAAATAATTTTGTGAATAAAGGTGATCGCGATTCGGACGATAATAACCAAAACAAAATGCGTTTTATTAAGTGTTACAAGTGTCATTAAAAGGGACATAAGGCCTCTGAATGTAAATCCCAAAAGGGGAAAGACAAATCTTCGTTCGTATCTCTTTTATCAACCGAAGTGAAACAAGATCAGTGTCAAGTTATGCACAATAGTTTCGTGGACTCATGGTGCCTCGATAGTGGACGTTCATCCCATATTTTTAGTGATAAAAGTTTATTTACGAAAATCGAGAACAGTGAAGTGAGTAAATTAAAACTTGCGAGTGATGCAACAGCTGACATTGTGTGTAGAGGTATTGCTCAAATCGAGACAATTGTAAACGATAAACAATGTGAAGTGACTTTACATGATACTCTACATGTTTCAGAGATGTGTATGAATCTACTGTTTGTATCGAAAATCCTTATTAATAAAATCAGATGTCTGTCTGTACATTGCTTAAAACTTCAAAATGTTAACATGATTAGTTATTATGGACATCAGGGATTCCAAAAATATTCTTAAAAAATTTAATGTATGTATGTATGTATGTATGTATGTCACAAAAACTTTGTACCCCAATCACACAAAAACATGTGAATCGATTTAAGTCCAACTTGGTAGGTTATTAGGTATTGACCCAAGGAAGGTTTATAAATTTACAGATTTAAAAAATATTAATTAGAACGGGAGATATTCAATTTTTTCAAAAAATTCAAAAAATCGAAAATTTCAAAATTTTTTATTTTTTATGGATTGCTTTTAAAGTTTCTATACTTGAGTATTACATGTTATTTAGTCACATTTTAGCATAATTTTGAAAAAAATAAAGTCCTATAACTAATATGTAAGTATAAAAATTCTTTCAAAAAATCGAAAATTTCAAAATTTTACATTTTTCATGGATTGCTTTAAATCTCCCTATATTTGAGTATTACATGTCATTTAGTCACATTTTAGAATAATTTTGCAAAAAATACTATCCTATAACTAAGATGTAAATATAAAATATTTTCAAAAACTTCAAAAAATGGAAAATTTCCAAATTTCACAATTTTTAATTAATAGCTTTTAAACTTTCTAAAATTGAATATTATATGTTATTTAGTCAGATTTTAGCATAATTTTGCAAAAAATACTATTCTATAAGTAAATATAAAAATATTATTTTGACGTAAAAATAGTGTAATTGAGAATTATTTCTCAAATTAATCTAATATTTACAAGAACTTCAGAAATATTGAAAATGCAAATTTTTTATGATTAAAATGATATTGCAGGATGTCAATAAATTGTAAGTCACCTGTGATACAATACAAGCATATTATATGCCACTAGGCAAAAACTTATATGTTAAAACGTTTTTTTTATTTTAACTCTAGATTTAACT